TAAATAAAAATTTGCATAAAATTTTAAAACTAAGATTTTTTAACTTCTTCCAATTCAACTAAAACGCCATTGCAATCTTTTGGATGCAAAAAAACAACAGGATTGCCATGAGCACCGATTTTTGGTTCAGGATCTAAAACTCTAATACCTTTTGATGTTATATCTTTTATGGCTATTTTAACATCATCAACCTTATATAAGGAAGGTTAAATATAATTAGATAAAAAAAATATATAATTAAAAAATTAATTAATTTGAAATAAAAATACAAACCTCAATACAAACATGGTGAATTCCACCATTTTTATTTTTATCTAAGAAATTTTGTATTGGTGATTTATCACCATAAGGATGCAAAAGTTCAATTTTTGTATTGCCTAAGTTCACAAAAACTGTATATACTCCATGCTCTGGTTGTGGCTAAAAGTATTAAAAAAATATAAGAATGGTAAAATATGAAGTTAAAATTTGCAAGAAAAAACTTACCACAGCTTCGCTAACTTCTTTAGCACCTAAAATATTTTTATAAAACTCTGATGCTTTTTTGAGATCAGGTACAGCTATAGCTACATGATTCAAATGTCCTAACTTCCATGATTCCTGATTACAATTGTTAGATGAAAACATTCTTGTAAATCTAATGGGCGATGAAAGATAAGACTGTTGAGAATAGACTTCTTGCACCATAGCTCAATTTTCAAAAAAAATTTTAGCGTGCATTCTGCAAAACCCTTTAAATACTCCATACTGACCAAGGACATTCACGTTTTTTCCGCATTACTCATATGTAATTATCCTAATAATCAGGAATTACTTGACACATACACCAGAACAAAGAGCGATCATAAAGGGCTAGATAACAATGTCGTTGTCACTTCGTTGAAAGCTTCTCATTTACTATGTATGTGATAGTCATTCTATCTACTTTAGAAATTATAGACACATCTCATGCTCATTTCACAATAATAATAAAGTTGATTTATAAACAAGTGCCTTGGAATTGAATAAATTACTGAAAATATTCTCTTAATGCTATATCTCCGAAATCTTTCGTTATTTTATAAATTACACAATTACAATTATGAAATACGTTTACTTTTTTTAGTTTTTGTTCAAAAATATTTAATGATTCATGCCCGAGAACCATTAGCTGAACTATGGAATATAAAAGATACGAAATGCCAAACTTATTAGAAACTGAAAAGTATTTATCTTTGATGGATAGAACATTAAAACCATTTCTAGATGATACAATTTTAGGTGTTAACTTTTATAAAATGTGAAAATAATAAAGTTTATCGATATGTTAATGTATTAAATAAATCTAGAATTCCCGATATAATTTCTAGACATGAGATACAGACTCCATAAGACCAGCAAACGAATCCTTAGATAATTTAATTCTCGTTTAATGGAATAATAATAACTACCGTAAAATATGGAAAATAAGCACAGCACCCTCTACCCTACTTTTTTCAATTTCAGATTAACGGGAATAACTTGATTAAAGATTTTATTGCTATTTCCGCTAATCTGAAATTGAAAAAGTAGGGTGGAGGGTACTGTGCTTATTCGCCATATTTTACGGTAATCAAACTGAAATCCTGAAATGAGTTCAACAGTAATTAAGATTAATCCGTCTAATTTACCGTCATCGCATACTAAAAGAGTAGGAAGAATACCTATTCTGATGTCATCTGGAAGTGGGATTTACTTTAATATTAGTGTAAAAGTGTACAGCAGGTTTCTGGACAAAAAGAAAAAGTTAGACTTAGAGATCAACGATTTCTTGTAAGCGCAGGACATCGTTTTAGCAATTTCATTGGTACTAAATCAAAATCAACAATACTAAATCTCAGATAAACATTTTTATCATGAGCTTTACAATGCTAAACCATATTTTTTTACTTGATAAAGTGTCATATTCTATTTACAATGCTCCATATGATTTTTAGCTTAATTGATATAAAAGAGATGATACGTAACAAGCTCAAGGCATCAACGAATATGGAAAATATATTATCTCTATATTATCTCAAATCTAGTCATCTTATACAAGTCTGGCACGAAAACATTTGATACTTATGGTTATATTGAAACGTTCGATGGAGTTTTCGTAAATGAATTGGGCAATTTATATACGGGTGTGATCATTTCAACTATGAAAATATGATTTTTGGAGCATCTGTATTTTCTTTTTCGGATTTGAATTCAGCGACTTGGCATGAGATAGAATAATTGGTTCGATTAGGCATGCCATTAAATGATTCTAAATAAAGCTAATATAGAACTTATTACTAGATCTTAAGCACGCACATTGCGAAGGGTGAGATTTTTTTAATTCAAAATATATATATATTTTTATTAGTTATCTGATTTGTATTCCAATGCTTATTCACAAAAGCTCTTGTTAAAATAAAATACTGCATTATCTGATTTGTTATACCAAGACTCAATAATAAAACTCGTTAAAATCTTCTTCTTCTTCATCAATATATAAAATAACATTATTATGACAAGCCATTATTAATATACGTACTTCATCAGGGATAGTAATATCAGGACAATAAACGTGCAAAGTTAAAGTAGTATTTATATGAAGAGCTTTTGCGAAAGCTAATCCTATTTCAGTTTCAATATCATAACCGTCAATATGAAAAGATGCTAATGTAGTGTTTATATGGAATGCTTTTGCTAACGCTTTTCCACCTTTAATACCAATATCATTTCCTCTAAGATCTAAAGAAGTTAAAGCCGTGTTTACATGAAGTGCACTTGCTAACGCATTTACTCCTTCAACACCAATACCATTATTGGCAATATATAAAGAATTTAAACTATTGTTCTTATGAAGTGCCTCTGCAAATTCTTTTCCTCCTTCATTACCAATACGATTGTGAGTAAGAGTTAAAGAAGTTAAAGTATTATTTATATGAAGAGCTTTTGCTAATGCTTTTCCTCCTTTAGCATCAATAGAATTATTGCTAATATTTAAAGCAGTCAGGGTAGTATTCCTACAAAGAATTTCTGCTAGTACTTCTCCTAAATATTCAAAATAATTATAAGTAAGAACCAGAGTGGTAATTGCAATATTTTCACTAATAGCTTTCATCATTAATTCTGATTCTTCGAAACAACGTTTTCCACTAATATTTAAAAAATCAATAATATTATGTCTGCAAATATTTTCAACTAATTGATTATTATTACATATAAACCAATCGAGGTTTAAAGACTTTAGGTTCTCACTTGTTCGTAGGAGCATCGAAATTAAAGAACATGTAATTGCTTTTGCGAGCTTATCATCTTCTAAAATATAACCAAAGTCTTCATCATCAAAGTCATCACTACAAACTTTTTTTAAAGTATAAACTTTATAACAATTATATTTAAGCCACTTAATAACTGTGTCATTTAAATCATTGGCATTGATAGATGTAATGTAACTTGTATATTTAAATAAAGGTTTTGGATAATTTGGAAGGTGAATTTTAAAGGGGATTAATAATGCTTGATCTTCTGCATTTAACGCTAAAAGACATATATTTATAATTCTTCTATC